GGTGCCAAGTCTGAGTCTCCATTGATCTGGCTAACATCATTCACCTCACCCTGATGATTCCATGACGCTCTGCCCCACCAATTTGTGCCCCATCCTACAAGCCACATTCAGCAGCTTTTCTAAACAAACATCCTACCTCAGTTCGTGCTATAGACTTTCCTAAAATCTCTCAAAAATTAACAAACCCAAACAAGTTGTGTCTGGCCTTGGCATGCTCTGTACCTTGGCACCAAGCCCAGCACTAGTGACAGTTGGCCTCAGTTCACAATTTAGCCTCTTTCCTAGTTGCCTCCAAGCCTAGCAAAGCAGCAACCATCTGCAGATCACTTTGTAGCTCCTACCAGGTGGCCCTGGGCTGGGAATAGGCAAAAGCTGATGTTGACCTGCACCAGAGCTCCTCTCAGGAGGCTCCAGAACCAATACACCCGGTGGCCAGCTTCAGACCACACCGGACCACCCACCTACCTCGACAAAAGACACACCCAAAAGACAGACTCAGGAGGCAACAGCCCTCACTAAAATAAATCCTGCTCCATGGGGTACTGCCCCGCACAACAGCTTGTCCGCTGTCATCACAGTCAGTCTTCACAGTCAGTTAGTTTGATGATCTACTGCTGACGTGCCAACAGCAATCAAAGCTCAACTATAACAGGAGGGTACACACAAGTGCACAAGGAACACACCTGGAGCACCTGGCTCAGGTGACCAGGGAGACTGCGCTACTGGGCCCCACAGGACACCTACTATATAAGGCTACTTGGCCAAGACTGGGAATGTAGCAGATCTACCTAATACATAGAAACGAACACAGAGAGTCAGCCAAATTCAGCAGCTTTTCTAAACAAACATCCTACCTCAGTTCGTGCTACAGATTTTCCTAAAATCTCTCAAAAATTTACAAACCCAAACAAGTTGTGTCTGGCCTTGGCATGCTCTGTACCTTGGCACCAAGCCCAGCACTAGTGACAGTTGGCCTCAGTTCACAATTTAGCCTCTTTCCTAGTTGCCTCCAAGCCTAGCAAAGCAGCAACCATCTGCAGATCACTGTGTAGCTCCTACCAGGTGGCCCTGGGCCAGGAATAGGCAAAAGCTGATCTTGACCTGCACCAGAGCTCCTCTCAGGAGGTTCCAGAACCAACACACCCGGTGGCCAGCTTCAGACCACACCAGACCACCCACCTACCTCGACAAAAGACACACCCAAAGGACAGACTCAGGAGGCACCTCACTAAAATAAATCCTGCTCTATGGGGTACTGCCCCGCACAACAGCTTGTCCGCTGTCATCACAGTCAGTTAGTTTGATGATCTACTGCTGAAGTGCCAACAGCAATCAAAGCTCAACTATAACAGGAGGGTACACACAAGTGCACAAGGAACACACCTGGAGCACTTGGCTCAGGTGACCAGGGAGACTGCACCACTGGGCCCCACAGGACACCTACTATATAAGGCCACTTGGCCAAGACTGGGAATGTAGCAGATCTACCTAATACATAGAAATGAACACAGAGAGTCAGCCAAAATGGGGAGACAAAGAAACATGTCTCAAATGAAAGAAAAAAACAAAGTTCCAGAAAAAGAAGTAAACAAAACAAGGGCAAGCAATCTATAACATGCAAAGTTCAAAACACTGGTTATAAGGATGCTCAATGATCTCAGTGAGAACTTCAGCAAGGAGACAGGCAACATAAAAATGGAGATAGAAAACATAAAAAAGAACCAGTCAGAAATGAAGAATATTGTAACCGAAATGAAGAATACATTAGAGAGAATCAACAGATTCTCTCTATGAAACAGAAGATCAAATCAGTAATTCAGAAGACAAGATTGCAGAAAACAACCCAATCAGAATAGCAAAAAGAAAAAAGAATCCAAAAAAATAAGGAGAGTTTAAAGGTCCTCTGGGACAACATCAATCATATCAGCATTCCCATCACAGGGGTACCAGAAGGTTAAGAGAGTTAGCAAGGAATTAAAAACCTATTTAAAGAAATAATGACAGAAAACTTCCCTAACCTGGTAAAGGAAACAGACATAGAAGTCCAAGAAGTGCAAAGTCCCAAACAAGATGAACCCAAAAAGGTTCACACTAAGACACAACATAATTAAAATACCGAAGTTTTAAGTAGCAAGAGAAAAGCAGTAAGTTAGCAGAGAGCTCTCATAAAACTGTCAGCTGATCTCTCAACAGAAACTTTGCAGGCCAGAAAAGATTGGCATGAAATATTCAAAGTGATAAAAAGTAAGGACTTATAACCAAGATTACTCTACCCCGCAAGGCTGTCATTTAGAATCGAAGAACAGATAAAGAGCTTCTTTGACAGAAAAAGATAAAGGAGTTTAGCAATACCAAACCATTGTTAAAAGAATGTTAAAGGGACTTCTTTTGGGGGATGGGGGTGGGGGGGAGATAAAAAATATGAATAATAAAATGGCAATAACTCCATTTTCATCAATAATTATTTTAAATGTAAATGGATTAAACGCTCCAATTAAAAGACAAAGAGTGGCTGAAAGGATATGAAAACAAGACCCAAACATATGCTGCCCACACAAGAACCACTTCAGATTGAAAGATACAGACTGAAAGTAAAGGGATAGAAAGGGATACTTTATGCAAATGGAAATGAAAAAAAGCTAAAGTAGCAATACTTACATGAGACAAAATCAACTCTAAAACAAAGGCTATAACAAGAGACAAAGAAGGACTCAGCAATTCCAGTTCTGGTTATTTATCTGAGGAAACTCAAAACATTAAATCAAAAAGACATATGTACCCCTATGTTCACTGCAGCATTACTTACAATAGAAGCAACCTAGGTGTCCATCGATAGACAAATGGATAATGAACATGTGGTACATACATACAATGGAATATTACTCGACCATAAAAAAAGAATGAAATCTTGTCATTGTAACAACATGGATTAACCTAGGGGCTATCATGCTAAGTGAAATAAGTCAGAGAAAGAAAGACAAATACCATATGATTTCACTTATATGTAAAATCTAAAAACTAAATAAATAAACACAACAGACACAAACTCATAAAGAGAACATTTTGATGGTTGCCAGATGGGAGGGGGGCTGAGGGGATGGGATTAAAATGTGCAAACTGCTAGTTATAAAAACAGTCATGGGGATGTTAAGTACAGCATAGGGAATATGGTCAATAATATTGTTATAACTATGTATGATGTCACATGGGTACTAGACTGATCAGGGTGATCTTCCTAAGTTATATAAAATGCCTAATCACTATGTAGTATACCTGAAACTAATACAATATTGTATGTCAACTGTAGTTGAAAAATAAAAAATATTAAAAAAAAAATACAAAGTAATGTAATTTTTTAAAAAAGATAGATGATGTTTAGGGTAAATCTATTGCTAAATCATGCTTTTTGTATTTCTCTATGAAAAGGATTTTGTTTTCATAAGAATCCACATTTATTTTTGTTTTGTTTTAAGCTGCAGTAGGACTTCCCTGTTCATAGTTTATTTTTTTAGGTTTTATATATCATGTTTTAGCAGTTTTCTATCCCATTTATTATCAGTATTGCAACACATTTGATATTTATATTGTATCTGAATCAATAATCATTAATTGTACCCCCCCAAATAAATAAACAAAATATTGCTCATCTTTGGACCAAAAAACAAAACAATAAACATCTGCTGAATAAGTTAATGGGAATATTAATTTAAATACAGATTCTTAGGCTCCATCCCTACAAATTCTGAACCTGTATTTCTTAATCATCCACAGGTGACTGATAATTGATCTACCAGGCAAGCTGAACCCCAATTCTCAGAGTACTTCAAGGCTGTCCCACTTGCTCTTACTTGGGATCCCTGTCTCATTAATGCACACAAAGACCTCTGAATTGACCCTCAGACTTGAAAGAATAAGAAATGAAGCCTCCTCTAGGAAACACTAGGGAAAACAACTCTAGATGATTTTATCTTCGACAGAGAAAATAATCATTTACCAGAAATGGCCTATAACTGGAAGCATAGCATGCCTGAATAGGTGTGGAGGAGTTAAGTACATATAATCCTTAATTTATTTTCCTTCCAGAGCTAAAACATTAATTAAACATATAGATCGAAGAAAAATAAAAAATATAACCTCATTTACTAAATCTTCCCAAAGGTCATATGAAATAGCAGCATTGATTTAATGTGCTCCTCCTTTCTTTTTTGTTTACTCTGGTGTAAATACTAATAACCAAGAAAATGACTGAAATGCAAATAATGAAACAGAATAAGCATCTTTAGTCTCACATAAGAGTTTAAGCAGTGTTTGTCCTAAATATTTCATGCTTTCCTCTGTGGAAAAATTGGTCTGGAATGCTACATCAAATTTCATTTGGTCTATTAAGGATTAGAGTTTCGTGTTTACATATCTTAATCAAAAAACAGGAATGTAGCAGCATATAAAATTACCAAGCAAGTTTATAATAACATTTAACGCTTATCATGAGAGGGTTATTAGGTTCTAAAATTCTTTAAAACAGTCTAATTTCTGACTCCCTACAAATACTTTCATTCTTCCTTTATATTTTCCTAAATTTAAGTTATTCAAAAACAGTCATCAGGATAAAAATCAAGTTTTTAAATTTATTTAATATGATTCACATTCCAACATTCTTGTATAATAAATATGCTTTCGTCTTTTTCAGATAAATAAAAAAATAAAAAAAAATTAAAAGTTTTCCTCTAGTTATTCATTTTAGTATATACTGAAATGTGAGCTTTTGCCATATGTCTATCCTTCCTTCTACTTAACTCCTTGAGTCAGATGAGGGCGTAGAGACCCCTAAAAGATGGCTTCAAGTGATTCGAGAAGTATGATAATTAAACATTGTCAAATGGTTCTACTTCATATTGGGAAATTCCTGAAAAACGCATTCTCCATCATCCAGAATATATAAAAAAAGTATAATCCTCTCTAACTTCCTCTTTGGTTGGCTTCTCAGAAAAGTCTCCACTTACCTGAGCGGCTTATTCTCTGGGCCAAAATCAGTAAAGCCCATTTCCTCCAGTTTGCAACGCCTGTAAAGTTCATAGTGCCTAGTGTGGGTCTGTTCTCGAAGATCCTCCATGTTTGTACAAATGAGCATTTCCCGGAGCTTTACAAAGTCACAGTGGTTTTCATTTTCCACTAGCCAGAACAAGAAAAAGCAATACAAGTTTTTAATTCCTGAGACACAATTAGTATTTGTTGAACGACTGGAAGAAAACATGTGTAATAAACAGCAAAATGATGTCTGATTAACAGCTATGATCGTTTTACACAACCAAAGAAGAAATTCTTGCATTATACACTCTGAATTATAAGCAGTGTTAATTATGAGACCAAGAGATTCACTTTAAATTTAGTAGCCAATGGATAAACAGAAAATAGAAATGAAATTCATTATATTATGTTACTGTATGCATCAATTATTTCACTAACATTGTGTTAGCAGTTTACAAACTATCTTCAGAATATTTCACATTGTGCTAAAAATAATATGTAATATTATTTCACTTCAAGGGAAAACTTCAAAGGAGTAAATTTTGCATATTCAAGAATACCATCTGTGCATGCTATAATTATCAAATTCTTTTTATACCATGCTACATTTATGATTCTGGGTTAGACACTATTCGCAATTAGTAAATAAACTTACATGGTCCTCCTACATTTATGCTGACAAGAGTACAAATAAGTATGTTACTGTTTAAGCACAATTACCTTTAATATTTTTATACATTAAAAATATTAAAAATTTTAATATTTATTAATTATAAAATTGGTCAATTTTTAAAAAGCAGCATTAGGAAACAGTATTAGCAAGTAATCTATTCCCCATTAATTAGCATCGTAAGTAAATGAACTAGATAGTACTCATAATGCTAAATAAATCCTAACATTTTTTTGTCGGCTGACTGGTTTGTTTTGGAAATAGTTGGCAATATATAAATTTATAAGATGTGCTACTGTACCCTAAAATTGCCTAGTAATTAGTTTATGTATCATGTTTGAACATTATTATTTACACGCAAATTTGTTCAAAGTACCTGACCACTGTGTCCTACCTTCTGAACATCTAGGCACGCTTGGGCAGATAATATGTATGGTATGATGCAGAAAATGGGGAGGAGGCTCTGCCTAGTCTCTCCAGATTTGGCTAAAACAGAACACGGCCAACTCTTCTAATAACCAATCATAATCTAAAATAAGCATCACCTCAAAGAATGCATTAAATGCAACAATGAGACTATTAGGCAACATGAATATTTCTAGTCACCATTTATCTCATTTACCTTGTACGACACCCCAAGGGTACTGGCGAGCTTTAACCATCTTATTTCCAACTTTTACCTCATCCATACTTCCTACAACAGCAAATGGCAAGTGTCCCTGGAAAGAAACCATGATATCAATTACATCTCATACCAATGTGATAAATGACTACTAAAATAGTTTTATGGAAAAATAGAGAAAATTTATTAAATAGTAAATTTATTAAAATCAAATGATCTGCTATGCCTTGAATTTTACAACTTGGTAGTGAATATGTACTACATTTTCAGTCCCTATAAAGAAAATTATTTACTGAGCATCCCCCACGTGCAAGGTATTATGCTATAGGAATATAAAAAGAGAAAGAATTCTAGTATAGGTATCATTTCCTTCAATATTATCTTCATTCTAAAAGACAAAGATAATGCTAAAGAAATTACACACACACACACTACATATATACATATGAATACATACACATATATATGAATATACATACACATTCATATACACACACACATATATATGTAACTAGAGTATATATCTATTTTTAGCATATATAGATATGATACCAATAAATGACAAAATATTTACATCTCAAACAAATGCTAAATACAATAAATGTTACAGAAATGTAGAGGAGAAATCACTGTGAGCAGAAAGATACAACCCGAACTAGAGATAGAACAAGCAGAGTGTAAAAACTAACTTAAATATAAAGAGAAGATTTTGGACAAAGATACAAAGCTAGATTTAGTGTCAATGAGCAGACTGGACTGTCTGAAGCTGAGGATTAATATAGAGAAAAAGTCTAATGAAAAAAGTATTAGGTATTATGTTTAATATTTAATAATTGACATTAATCTCTTAATTGTGCCTTTCTGAAAAATTATTCCAGATGTTCACAGAAATAAAATTAGATGTAAAGGCAATATGACACACAGAAATTAAGATCACTTATATTTATATTAGTCATTTACATTAGTCGATTTTTGATATATTTAATTAAAGATCCTTAACATACATGGGAGTATGAAGAGTCAGAAAAGGAAAAAGGAAGTGGAATGAACAGTTTCTGAATGTCACCATGTTAGAGAAAGCACAAAAGTTGTATCCTCTTAACAACCCTTAAAATTGATATTATTAACTCAGTTTTGTAGATAAGTTAACAGTCTTGGGAAGATTAATAACTCCGACAAGAATATATAGTTAAGTCTGTCTGACTCCAAAACCCATGATCCTTCAAAATATAATCAGATATTTAAGAAATTTGGTAGCCTGAAGAAAGTAACACACAAAATTTAGTCATCTTCAAATATGTTATACTAAAAGTTATGTGAATGTTTAATAAGTAATATAAGGGAGAATGAGTTTAAATACTAGATTAGAAAGATCTTAAAAATTTTAAGAATCTGAAGCATCCAAGGGAGGCTATAAAGTCTTCTCATGTTTTTAAAGACAGGATAGAAAGGTATCTTTCTAAGGCAATTAATTATAATTTCACAAAAGGGGTATCCCGGTCTCACAAATGCATCACTTTATTTATATGAAAATAGGAAAGAAAGAAAATATGCTCAAAAATATATTCTCATTATACTCTTCTCAACTCTAGAAAATAAAACATTTTCCTATGCTGGACTTTTTGAAAATTCACCTTGTTTGAAGTCTTTTTGGAAGACATAAGTAAAAATATATTAGTAGTAATGTTACCTATAAATTATATTTTTTTCACATGTAAAACTGAATTAACATTCAGTTAGGAGCTCACATTCATCGAAGCATTGATTTTAGCAATACTTTCATCATCTGTTGGGAACTGGTATATCTGGACGCCATTGCTGACCAATTCACTCATGAGCTTGATCTTAAACTTCTGTAACTCAGTTTTAGAAATTGCATCTGCTTTGGCAATCACTGGTATAATGTTCACCTATTAAGAATAAAGAAAAATAAGAATAAAGAAAAACAAAATCTCATAATTGTGGATTGATTTTTTTAATTCTGTAATTTCTGCATTTAAAACCACTAAAGTCTCTCACAAATTTCCTTAACCTAGATTGAGTGAACAACGGCAAACTACAGTTCAGCCCACAATCTGTTTACATAAATAAAGATTCATTGGAACCCAGCTAGTGGGTTCATTCATTTACATATTGTCTATGGCCTTTTTCATGCTACAACAGCAGAGATGAGTAGTTACATCAAAGACCACCTGGCCTGCGAAACCTAAAGTGTTTACTACCTGGCCCTTCACAGAAAAAGCTTACCAACTCCTAACCCAGATAATCGCTAGCTATCATTGTTACCACATACTCCTATACAATCATTCCTACAGATGATGGCCTTACAAAAACTGCTTTTAAAAAGCACGGCTCTTATAATATTAACTTTTCATTTAAATTTAGGTTTAGAAATCTCACATTTTCTTCTCTCAAAGTCTCTTACAATTCTATCATACACAAAATAAGTAAAATGTAAGCAGTATGTTGAAATTACCTGCTTAATTCACTAAGAATTTTTTATTTAATCATCTAAGTACTAAGTAATTAGGATGACTGATCTCTCACAAAACTATGTAAGTGCCTAATGTTAAGCTTTTTAAATTTAATTTTATTTTTTTAATGCCAGTTTATTTTTTTCATACTATACATATATAAAATTTTTTTTAACATTTTATTTTTTTATCTTCCCCTTCCCCCCTGTCCCCTCCCTTCTGGTAGCCACTAGTCCATTGTCCATGTCCATAAGTCTCTGTTCGTTTGTCCTGTTCATTTGTTGCTTTTAGGTTTATATCCCACATATAAGTGATATCATGTGATTTTCAACCTTTTCTGTCTGGATTATTTCGCTTAGTATAATTATTTCAAGGTCCATCCATGTTGTTGCAAATGGCAGTATTTCATCTCTTCTTATGGCTGAGTAATAGTCCATTGTATATATGTACCACAGCTTCTTTAGCCAATCATCTATTGTAGGACACTTCAGTTGCTTTTATGTCCTGGTCACTGTGAATAATGCTGCTATGAACATCGGTGTACAAATATCTTTTTAGATATGGGTTTTCAAGTCTTTGGGGTAAGT